GATGGCCGCTTGTTTACCTTCAAGCTTTTAAGACCCCAGACGCTATATCTTTTGATAGCCGGGCACCATCAGCTTTCTTCACCACATTTGCTTATTCGCCCGCTTTGTCTTCAGCGGTTGTGTCGGGAAGGTGAGCATCATAGAATGCCAATTTAATAGAAGAAGGTAGTCTTGCGTGTGTTGGTTTATTCTGTGAAAATAATAAAACCCATTGTCATTGAGACGATTCCAACTCATGAGAACCCATGTGCGTCGGAGTATACCGCACTCCACGGGCTGTTCAATCACTCCTAGTGTATGGGAATAAGTTGCCAGGTGCCACTGGGTGGATTTGGGATGCCAACCTTTCCATTAGTGGCAGAGAATATATGGTTTGCGCCACCACCTATATCTTGTCCTCAGCTGTTATTTTTCCCTTAATTATCTGGCTTATTGAAATAAGATCATTAATATACCAAGTACTCAGAACCAGGCTAGTCAGTCGCTCTGTTACTTTCAAGCCTTCCCCTTCTTCCCTTTTGTTCACTTGCAGACGCTTAGCTGAAGCATTTCACATCACTGATGATTCTGACCCTTTCAATGTGCGCTCCTCGGGGTCGAAATTCAGCGATAGTTTGAAAGAAGACGCCAGGTATGTAACTCATTTCTTGCTCCCCTGATGGTGGCATAAGGGGTTGTTAGGTCTTTTGAGATGTAGTAACTAATAAGTTCCTCCTCCTGTGGTTAAGCCAAATAAAGTAATTTCATATGTTAGCATAAGAGATTATATGGTATTAAGAAGTTCTTGGTTTCTTTAAACTGTACCCTTGAAGAACTGAACATGTGGGGTAGAGGGTCAGTCCCTGTGGCAGGTCTTTAAGCTCCTTAGGGCTGACGTGACGGCTCTCAGGGCCTCCTTCCACCTCTGTCCCTCCATCTCTCAGTTGCATGAGCCCTCACTTGGAAACAGTGAAAACTCCGTCTCAGCAGCCTCTTGGCTATCCTGTGCCTGTTCCTCCTTGGCCTGTCTTCTCTCCTCCCTCCTTCCATCACAGTCCACCTTCTGTTCCATGACACTGCCTGCCCCTACGGCTTTGTCCCCTGTCTGCCTGTTACACCAGAGGGTGGTGGGTAGAGGAGATGCCCAGGAGAGCAGGCACAACTGAAAGTAACCGTGATGATTTCTCATTTCAGGAAGGACTTAAAGTTTGTCAGCGACGTTGAGAAGGAAATGGAAGCTCTTGTGGAGGCCGTGGACAAGGTTGAAGTCAAAATATCCCACTGGACATGTCTCTAAGGCCAGCTTGATAGAATATCAGGTCCCCAAAGCACGGTCAGCCTAGAGTAGTCGTAGGGAAAGTCACAGCATCCTTGAGGATCTTCCTCTCTCCCCAAAACCCAGCACGAAACCGCCCGTGTGGACCTGTCCTGCCTCATTCACTGCAAGAGAGAGCCCTACGTTCAGAAGAAATGTAAAGAAGCCCCTTTCTCGTACCTGGGGCCCAGGGGAGAAGCTCCGGATGAGCGGGGCTCAGCAGTGGTAGTTGGGTGACTGGCAGACAGGCTTCAGGAGAGCCGGTGTGTCAGAGGGGAACCCCCTGGCCCGCTACTGTCCCCAAGAGTGACCCAGGGAGGGAGAGGGGTCGTGCGACTGGAGCTGAAGAGCAGCGGAGGACCAGCCTTCATTCTGCCCGAAGCTGCCGGCCCCGCCCTGCCCCGCCTCTGCACCCAGCAGGCCTGCCAAGCACCAGGGCACCATGGCAGTCTCCCAGCTGCTTCCTCCCCTTTCCCCACTGCCCCAAATAAGACTGACATGAAGGAGAAAATTGAAAACGTCATTTCTCACCTGATCAGGAAGCCTGAGCCAATGTTATTCTCTGTGCTTAAAGACCTGCCACAGGGACTGACCCTCCACCCCATATATATATATATATATTTAAATCGAGGATGTGCTTTCAGAGGAAGTAAGGTTTAATTTGGGAGAAGGGGTTTTACCTTTTGCTTTGTTAGGCTTCCACTATTTTCTCATTTCTTGGGGCTGTCACTCACGCCCCAGCTATGGCCAAAGTCATGGGAAGCCACTGCCCCATGGGCTTCATTTCAATCACTTACCCTTTGTCCCTGGCCCTTCGGGCCTTTGGCAGCCGGTGCTACGCTCATGCTGCGGGCAGTGACCACAGCCTCCTTTCTGAACAGGCTGCTCCTGCTGGGTGGGAAGGACTGCTGTTTCCGGGGAAAGTGTTAAGCGTTCATCTCTTCCCTCCATACAGGGAAAGAGTGTTAAGAAAAGCCACTGCTTCCCTCCCATGAACAGAGACCACCGCCGCATCATCCACGACCTGGCCCAAGTGTACGGCCTGGAGAGCGTGAGCTATGACAGCGAGCCCAAGCGCAACGTCGTTGTCACCGCAGTCAGGTGGGCTGACCCTGCACCACAGGAGGGACTGTCCGTCCCCGCTGACCAGAAGGCACAGGGCAGCCCTTTCTGAAGTTCACGTGCCCCTTACACCATCCCAGAATCCATGTCACACCGTGGAGCTTTGTCTCCACCGACAGGCGAAACTGCCCTGGGGGTTGGGCTGGGGGCCTGCCCATCGCACCTGTGCCCTCTGCCCACCACCGCTTCCATCTCCTCTCCTCCCTCTGCTCCTCTACACTGCCCTCCCCGCAGGAGGAAATAGCAAGAATGCTAGACTCTGCTCTGAGGCATGGGCTGTGGCCAGTGTTTTGCCATCAGGAGAAATGGGCAGCATTGTCAGCTGGGCTCAGGCAGGGAAGACCTAAGGTCACCTCCTCCCCTCCGAGTAAGACCTTCCCCTGAAGGGAGGGGTACAGGCAAGAGGCACAGCAGAAGTGGGTAGGAAAGCCCAGTGCTGAAGGAAGGTGGGGAGTCTAGCTGTGTGCCCGTCTGCACCTGTGGCTCTCTCTGTTCAGTACTTGTTTGTTTTGCTTTATCAGAGGAAAGTCCATTTGTCCTCCTACCACCCTGACAGCCGTCCTTGAACGAGAAACGCAGGCACGGCCTCCACCACCGATTGCTCATCACAGACACCAGGCAGACAAGTAAGGAGTCTCGGTGCTTTTCGGACCCATCTGCTCAGAGAAGCCAGCGGGGTGCCGCTGTCCTAGGCAGCAGCGCCACTACAGGCAGCTCTGTCAGCTTCGACAGGGGTATTAGCCATACCTGTTCTGGCCCCAGTGGTCCTAAGTTTGACTTTTGTCAGGCCCACGTCCCTCTGCGGGGAGCACTCAGGATGGTGCTGGCAAGTGGGTTCAGTCTGTCCCCCAGCTCTTTTAGAGCTGGACTGTCCCTTGTTTAACGTAATGGAAGTTACTCTGAAGAGAGACATGGGGTTGGCAATGAGGGGCGGGGGTTAACTATTGTGTGGCTTGATTCATTGGCCACACAAATGAATTCCTGATTGGAAGAGAAAGGAAAGCCAAGCTGGCAAGTCTCCGTGTTTCCTCTGACAGGAGCGGGAAGAGCACCGTTCCCACCCTCCTCCCACCCTGCTGGAAGTGGGCCGGGCTGCGCTAGTGTCTGAGTGCCAGACGTCCCTGCAGACCCGGGCCTCCGCAGTAAAGCCCAGGCAGCACCAACTGCGCTCCAGCACAAAGCTTCTGGAAGGGCGCTTAGGGCTATTTCCAGCTTCACCGTGACGGTTGTCACAATCCGTGTTCCCATGGGACAGTGGCAGTGGGCACTGTGCATGACCAGCCTCAGCCGAGGCAGTCGGGGCCGTGCAGCTACCCAGCCCCAGCTCCTCTCCACCTGGGGAGCCAAGTGTCTGGGCTCCTGGCCAGTGCACATGGGTTAACCATGTGGATGGTGGTTTGGAAAATGTGAGTACTGTCCGAGGACACCAGCTGTCACAGCAAGAGCCAGTACCACTCAGACATGACCGTCACAGGGTCCTTGGCTTCTTGATGCCATACTTTCTTCACACACACACACACCTCCCCCGCTTGCTTTCTCTTTGTATAAAGCTACCATGGAAATGTGTAAAGAACATAGTGTTACTATAGCAAACCTCTGGGTACCCACTACCAAATTGCAGCAGTTCATGTTTGCCCCAGGAACTTATCAAGATCACAGTCAACTGATCCGTAACTTTCTGCAGACCTGTGTCTGTTTGCCCCAAAAAAGAACACTTGCTTTTTAAAATAAACACCTAAATTTAAAAAAAGAAGAAGAATTAAAGACTGATCTGCCTTTGCTTGCTTTGCAGGGGGACTGGGAGCATTCATCTACAGAAAATTGCCAAGGAGCCAGTGATTGACTACTTTGACGTCCAGGACTAAGGAGCTGATAGTGTTGGAATGTAGTGCAGATAAATCATGCCTGCCCCTCCTGCCCAGCGGCCTCACAGCCTCCATACTGTCGTCTTCTGTGGATACATCCAAAGCATCGGGGGTCGGCAGCTGCCGTGCCCTCTAGACCTGTCTGCCGGGAGGGTTTCACCAGCCAGCTCTCCAGGCGTGCACTTGAAGAGGCTCCCCACACAGTCACTGTGATTTCGTTGAGGGCTCGTTCGGACAAACCAGAATAATCGCCTGAGATTGGCTTGCTGACACACAGCCATCGCCTGAGCTGGATCTATCCTGAAAATGCTTGTGCCCTGAGGTGCACCGCGCTTGCTTAGCCCAAACGAGCTCAGCCCTTGGAAAGATGCTTGCGGACGCTTTCTCAGTCAGCAACTGAGAAAACTGCATTTGTGCCCCCTACCTGGAATCACACACGTTGTCTTAAACCCAGCAAACTCATTTAAGTCTTCTGCCAAAAACCCCTCAGTTTGTCTAGCTGAGCTTGAATGATTCTCAATACAATCAATTAGGAAAGGAGAGGGATCAGGTTGATTTACAGAATTCCATTCTTTAGGCCCCCTGGCAGGTCACAGTCTACCTGGTGACAATCATGTTATCCTTCCACCATAATGGTAGAGGACATAGAACAAGCTCTTTCCTCTGCCAGGTTGACACTGTGGCTCTGAACTGACATGCACGCCCCTCATTCCTTCTTTGGTGGAGAGAGGGTCTTGGAGTCTGCCTGTGTTGGGTTTTTTTAGCCCTTGAGCAGGCAAATTGATGCTCCTTGTCTTTCATCTCTGGGCTTCTAGAATACTCAGGGTGTACGCAGTCCAGGATGTAAGCCCAGTGCTCCATTAGAGGCATTCTTCAAGCTCTTTTGAGGCCAGCCCATCAGAGATTTCATTAGCTTGGCCTTCTTTACACTGACCCCCCTTCAGCATGGAGGCCCGACTGGCAGCAGCTTCCTCTCTAGAACAAGCTACAAGCCCCGGAGTACCCAGAGATTAGAGAAGTAGCATCCCAAAGCCAGGGGCTTCATTGTTTTAGAGCAAGAAACCCTTTGGCCCTCACCAGACAATCCTCTGAAAAGCCTGGGTCAAGTAGCAGCAGCAATGGGCAGCCTGGGGCAAGAGACAGTTCCAACACCACTGCTTGGCTGGGCCCATTTCTGGTAGGGTCAGGCGGCTTCTGACCCAACAGGAAGCCCGTGAGCTTCCATCTTCTCTCAAACAGTGGGTCCAGTGAGCGCGCTGTGAGAGAGCGTTTGGGAATCAGTAGGAGACCTGGTCTCCCATCCCAGCCCTCGCCCCCTGGGGGAGACAGGTATCACCCACCACCCCAGGGTGGTTTTGAGGGTTAAATGAAGTTGCACATGTAGAGGCGCCTGACCATAAAAACTTCTTAAAAAAGAAGTAGTGGAAAATATGTAAGCATCTTCTTTCTCCATATTTGTAGCCAAGTAAAGATCATGCGTGATACACAGCCTCCTCTGCCAGATACTTGCGTGGCTGCCCCGCAGCTGTGTTCTCTCTATACAGGCACTGACCCTGGGCTGTGGCCGAGGGTCTGGCACCCACCAGAGCTTTGAAAAGCCCCTGGGGAAAATCTATCATTCTGTTTTCCACAGACCTGTCTGGTGGGTTTTCAGTGTTACCGTTAAAAGCTGAGGAGACCCAGGAGAGAACAGGGGTAGGAGTGTCAGGGAGGAATGGGTTCATTCTCTTGGTTGAAGGGCGCCCATTGGGTGGGGAAGGAGACGGGAATGGCATTTGAGCCAAGTTTGAGGAGTGGTAGGACTGCCCTTTGGAAAAGGAGCGAGCCTTGCTTCGCCTCAGCTCCAGAGGGAAGAGGCAAGGGACAGCCCCTGTGGCAGGTGTGAGGCAGGGCTGTCCAGCAGCAGGAGTGCAGGGGTTGAGGCTGGAGAGGTGGACCGGGTCTGGCTCAGGGAAAGCCCTGAGAGCCGCAGGATCTCACGGTTTCTGTTACCACTGCCCCAAGTCTGCTGTCATATTTAAAAAGTAAAATCTAGTTCGTGGGTCATACAGAAACAGATGGCAGACCGAGCTGGGCTTGTGGGCCAGTTTGCCAACCCCTGCCCTAAGCAGCCCCTCAGGCTGAAGCAGGAGGGTTGGGGGCGTGCAGGAACCTGAGGCAGCAGGCTGCTAGACTCCACCTGCAAAAGGTGCAGAGATGTAGGAGATTGTGGGGGTGAGGTAGGCAGGGGAGCCAGCCCCTCTGGGACTGCAGGGGTACCCCATCTGCTACTCATTGGTTTGGCGGCTTCTCCACTGAGAATGTTGTACGTGAGTTTGAACGCGAGGGGAAAAAAGAAAAACTCCAGCCAGATGTGGAGTGCTTAAGAATGCGGTGGGACCTCCTACCCCCTCCTGCCCACCCGCTTGTCCAACTGGAGGTCCTTACAAGCCAGCACTGTCCAGAGAACAAGCCCCTGTCTCTGGTGCTCCCTCTGCCAGGGCTGACCCGTCAGCAGGGGGGCCATCCCTGAGCGCATGGGCACTGTGGGCAAGGGCACGGGAGGAACGCAGCCCCAGTAAAGCTGTCATCGGACCTGACACAGGTGACCGAGTCACTGTGGGCCACACTTTGCCAAGAGCCTCATCTAAGTGTCCAGGAAGCATCACGTGTGCTTTTCACTACGTTTGAGTGGTAGGGACATGAACTTCCTCAGTGGATAACTGGGGAGCTAACACCCCTGCTAGACCTGAGTCTGAAGCTTGTGGCCTCTCCACCACACTTGAGCTCAGCCTGGTGCGTGCCCCACCCCACCCCCCCATCCGAAAACGAGGTAGCCCAGTGAGTCAAGACAACAGGGAAGGGGACTGCTATTCCAGCCCAAAGTCAGGAACACCAACAGCCTCCAAGGAAGGTGGGCTTTTCCTATCATGGCCACCAGGGGTGGTCTGGTCACTAAAGCGGGTATTGAGCTCATGTCTGCAGGTGTGGGGCTAGAAAATCTGTTCTCTTGAAACTGAAAAGTTGAGTTTCTATTTTTCAAGTCCCTGGAGAAAAGTGGAAGGGCAGCAAAAAAGCGGAAGGCCTTCCGGGAGATGGATGGGCAGTGGCTGCAACCCTGGGCTTGGGCACAGGAACCATGGTGAGGCTGGCGCAGGGCCGGGCACTTTCATTCTGTGTGTGGGGGCGTGATGGGTCGGAGCAGACTCGACGCCTCAGCTGCTGTCGACTTAACGAGAGCTCACTGCGGCCTTACCTAGCATTTCAGAGACCACATCTTTTTATTTCTTTCCCCTTTTTTCGAGACTGCAACTCTTTACAGGAGCAGAGAGCTGCATCTTTCTCCGAGGAGCTGCTGGTGGGTCTGAGCTGCTTTCCTTGCAGTCAGCTCTGATCCTACAGGCTCCATCTCCCACTGGCCTGGGGGAAACCAGCCGCCAGAGTGGAAAGTGATCTGCAGAGAGATCCCAGTAAGCTCCTTGTCAGGTTACACTGGTCCTTCCGTTTCCTCCCTCCTCTGGGCCTGAGGGGCAGCCAGCAGTGGACGTCGGGATGACTGGGACCGAGGAGGGCTCCGGAGCCCCAGCCTGGCAGTCACTGGGAGAACGTGCACAGTAAGCTCCTGCCTGGGGCCCATTGGGTTCAGAGAGAGAAGCGGTAGGCGAAGCACAACCCTGCCCTCTTGGAGCATGTGTGGTGGCCTTGGAAGGCCAGACAGTCAGCTGTGGGGCAGGGAGGGGAGAGAAGGGGACGTGTGTAAAGGGCAGGTCCTCAAGGTGACTGTCAAGCAAAGCCTTAAAGACAGCTTGCCACGTGGACAAAGTACGTGGGAGAGCATTCCAGGCCGAGGGAACAGCGGCATGTGCGCCGAAGGCACAGCAAGGCCAGAGGGGCTGCATGGGTGCAGGAAACGGGGTCCAGAAGCTTAGGGCAGAGGAGACGGAGGTAAGAAAGCTGACTCAGTTTTAAAGGGCTCCTTGCTGCTGCCTTAAAGCTAGACTGCAGGGCTGAGGGCCAAGAGGAGATACTGGAATCCTCAGGAGACCTGTGTCTTGGTCCGAGAGAGACCAGACAGCAGCAGGGCCTGAAATAGGGAGCAGTTGGAGCCGGGGCACATTTTGCAGGCACAAACACTTAGAGAAAATCAGCTGGGATGTGGGGTGTGAAAGAAAAGGGGTCGGGGTGGCGTCAGTGTTTGGGAGACTGGCTTTGCCACTCAGATCCGAGCAGGAGTGCATACAGCAGGCTTGGGTGCGGAAAATCTGTCCCATGGGTGGCTTTACATCAGTCTGAAGTCTTGAGAGGGGGCGGGGTGGAGATGGGATCTAATTCAAGAGCTGTTGGGATGGCCTGGTGCTTGAAGCATGCTGAGACCATGGAGGGAGGGAAGACCAAATCATCTTGTGGGACTCTATCCCATAGAGTTTCCAAGGCTTTTGTATTAGTCTGAGTACTTTAGAGAAACATCCACAGAAACTCATGTATAAGAGAGAGTTTTATATAAAGATTAAGTGTGCATCAAGATAACTTCCCAACCCAGTGCTGCCCAAGCCCACAAGTCCAACATTGGCCTATATGCCCAACACCAATCGACAGAGTCCTCCTCCATCTCACAAAAGACAAGCAATGATGCCGACTGCAGGAGGAAAGCCGAGTCATTGAATGTGCAAGTATCTCGGCGGGCGCTGGCAGGGGTCTCCACACGGCTGCTCCAGCACCCAGGGCTGCATCGGAGTAGGTCCATGCGGCTTCTCCTTGGAGATGTCTTGAAGGAAGTGAGCCTTGCCAGCTGAAGCAGGGAACTGGCTAAGGCAGCTGCACCCTGGTCCGACCATCACAAAGCAAGAGACCTGAGAACTAGAAAGGTGAGGCTCACTGAGCCATTTCTCCCTCAGTCCTTCAATTAACCCCACATGTGTTTATCAGCCAGGTAGGCACAATAAAGTACCTCAGCTTTCATCTTCAAGGACAAGGAGCCCTGGTCACTAAGCATTGGACTGCAATTGACATGGTGGGCAGTTCTAAACCGCCAGCAGCTCCAGGGGAGAAATACTGGGCTTTTCATTCCGTCAACAGTTACTGTCCTGGAAAACCCACAGGGAGTCGCTGGTAGTGAGCATTGACTGGATGGGGGTGGGTTTGGTTACCTTTAAGGGAGCAGCCGGTGGGTTCAAACTGCCGGCCTTTGGGCCAGCAGCCGAGCTCTTTAATCCCTGCACCACCAGGCCCCCCAGAGGGTCAGAAGAGGAGGACTGAGCCCAGAGAAGGGGGTTGAAGACTCAGGGGTCCAGGGGAGACCTGGGAGTGAGGGTTTCTGGGCTTACCCTTCACGTGCCCTACAGGATCCATCTGAACCTCCCAGAGAAAGGACTGGTCCCTGGAGGCCCCGAGTCAGGAGAGCATGGACCTCAGCTAACTTGTCCCTTTTCTCAGCCATGAAACTTGGGTGCGCTGGATCACCTCGTCCATCTGCAAGCCTTTCCCCTGCCACCATAGGGCTTAGCAGCTCCATCTGTAGGCCCCGGCTTTACCCCTGGCAGCCTACATGCACCTCAGTGTCTGCCTGACCCAACATCAGATGCAGCAACTTCCCCCAAAAGGTCTCCCAGGGGCTCCACCATCCACCCACTGCCGCGGCTGCGCCCTGCTTCAACCCTGCTTGCAGACAAACCCACATCCATAGGCTCTCGTTTCTGAATTTCTCTTTCCTGGGCCTTCCCTTCTCTCCCTCCACTCCCTCGCCAGCTGGGCCAGGTGGCTTCCTCCTCCTTGCTCGCCCAGCCATGGCCAGTCTAGCTCCATCAGGCTGCAGAGTTCTTGCTCAATCGCCCCTCTGGCTCTGCCGTTACTCAGTTCAGCACCCATCCCAGATTCCCAGACGAGGTCCCAGCTGCCCAGCCGGCCTCTCCCCTTCAGCCACCCTGAGCAGTTTATGGGACACCCCTTTGCTGTTCCTTCTGATTGGGACCCCCTGCCTCATTTCCCCAGGGCACATGAGACTCAGGCCCGTGTGTATATGAGGCCCGAAGGGTTGAGCAGGGGCTGAGTACAATAGGCTCTGAACTGTGTAGTCCTCCTCAGCCCCTGCCAACCACGCCTCGGGCCTCCATCCCTCGCACGGGCCCAGAGCTTCCTCTCCAGAACCCCCTGTACCAACTCCTCTTTCCCTTCACCCTCCCAGCTCCTGAGGGGAGAGACAAAGGTAGCCTTGAGGTCTTGCAAATCCACCAGACTTTGCTGCATCTGGGGGAATGCCAATGGAGAAAATTAAACTGAACCTAGACACCTCAGAACCTGATTAGCCCCACTGCAAAAAATGGGGAACCAGCGTGGAGAGAAGTTACTAACTTGACCAAAGCTCAACGATGAGCATTTGGGTGTTTGTTCCCTTGTTACTCTCACTGCGCCTGTAGGCTCTATCAAGGTGTCCCTGATGGTTAGACACTCAACTACTAAGGCAAAGTTTGCCCGTGTGAGCCCACCTCACGCACCTTGACCTTGGGGA